CTTTTGTCATCCTCTCTTCCCGGTTCTGGGAGCTCTCGGGGACGCGCCTTGACCAACCTGTACCCCCGTCCATCCCCATCGTTCCATTTTGCCTTGCCTTGTCCCAGCCTGTCGATTTCTCCGGCTGTGCCTCAAACTTCCATTTCGCAACGGCCTGACATCTGTATCGCCGATTTCGCTGACCACTGTACAACAGAAGCCAGCTCGACCGCGTGCGTTTTGTTTGTTTTTATCAGAGAAACGCGGTCACCGTTGCACTTTGGTGCATCATCACAAATTCGCGACCCGCTGCTGGTCGTGAGACTCCGACGCATAGTACCACTACGACATCCCAAAAAGGGCGACTCGACCTAGTGGGTTAGCAACGCTCGACGAAAACTACATGCGCGCGCCGGTAGTTGGAGATCGGTGAGATACAATGCCTCGTGCGAGATGATGCGGACAAAACCACCTTCAAGCCGATACTCGAAGCTAACGCGACAAGTGACAACCAGCCACCCCGCGCGCCACGCCGTACAATGGACCACGGCGCACCTTCCCGATCAAACGTAGACGTAAGTTGCACGTTAGTCGAAGAGGGCAGGTGTCCGGTTCGCTCTTTCCTTACCTCAGATTCGTTCTTGTCTATATACTATTACTACCTTCACCGTGGAATCACGTTTGTTACCGTTTTTGTCCTTCGTTCTGTTACGTCCCTCAACTTCTACCTTACGAGCCTTGTCTGCTACACTCATTCGTGACGACGCATCTGGACCACTGCCCGTTGCCGCGTCTTTGGGGGCACTACTATGCGACCATACGACGTCCGCAAAAGATTATATTCCCACGTCGCTTTCGTCTCGCACAGCCTTGCAGTGTTCGGCACACATCTCATCCCGCTTTCTATCGGGCTGACACGGTCAACCACGGTCATGTGCGAATTCTAACTTTTGCGTCTAGGCATCCGATAACCTCAGAGCGCCACGCCGTCGCTCGACCAGCAATGGCTCTAACAACAAGAGAACAAGGCTTGATGTTCACGAAACCGACGGCATCCAGCAGGCATATGAAGGTCCTTATGCCTCTGCCAGCTCACAACCAGTGCCTACTGACGCATCCGCATCAGGTCCGCCACTTGCCTACTTTGCAGATTCTTCCAGCGATGTCCCTGGACAATTGGCGGCGCGGCCTGCGGAGCATACGTCACACCGGTTTCCCGGCACACTATTGCGACAAACCCGGCCATTTAACCCGTCATCTGATGTGATTCCACCCGGCTGGGGCCCTCATGTTCGCTCGACGTCATTTCCCTCACCACCGCTGGCTTCGCCTCTTTTAGGCAGCCCACTCTCCCGCCGAGACTCTGCGTATGCCGCGGGTGCCCACCGCACATCGTCTCCCAGTGCCAGTAGCAATAGTTCCAGAGGCGACGACAACCGGCTTCCCTACGCGCCTATACGGGTCCACGACCAGAGCAACACAAGCCACTCGACAGCAACACCGGCATTCGGTGCAGGAAACCAGTACACCGGAAGCACGAATGGGTTTGCGGCACCGTTTCCTCCTGCTCATCGCGCGTCATCGACAAATACCGAAGAAAGAAGCAGTGGAAGATACAATCCCGGGAGCCTCAGTAACATCGTAGACGGATTTTCGACCACTGCATCTGCTCCCACGCAGAACATGACCCAAAAGCCTGTTTCGGGACGGGAACAGAGAGCTGAGTTTTCTGCTGATGCAGTAATTAGGCACTTCCAGCAGGATGTTGCCAAAACCAACTACGCCCGAACACACACCAATCTTGACCATGGGACGTTCACGCCTGCGTTTGGAGCCTGGACACGGTCTCACCAAAGCAGCGGAGCTAATACTCAGCCACAAGAACCGCTGATTCGACGGTCTTCTTCAGCATTCGTGCCTGCTGCGCCTCTTCACAATATTCTTCACCCAGTTAACGAGACTCCGCACGCAGATGTTTCCGAGGGGTCCGGTACCGAGAGCCAAACTTTTCCTAATACCGTTTCACATGTTACGTCTGGGTCGGGTGGTGTCCCAAATAGCACCCAAGACAACGTCCAAAATGTCGCACCGAAAGACAGTTACTCGACCGAAAGTGCGCCAACCACTGCCCTCGGAACTGGAAATGAGATTCAAATAGCTCCCAACGCAACCCCCGAGCAGACCACGAATAGTCGCCGGAAGCAGGAGAGGCGCTCCCGAAGTACCTTTTCCGTGGACCAACGCAATGAAACTAGCCAAACCCGTGCTATCGGCGCATGCCTTCGATGCAAAAGCCAGCGTGTTCGCGTAAGTAAACGGAAAGAACAACAGTTGACACAGTGCACGGTCTCCTTACAATGCTAACCTATCCAGTGCGTTCCCTCGCCTCTTGGACCGTTCCACACATGTCTTACCTGCCAGCAGGTGTCAAACAATTCCAAGAAGGTTCTTCATGAAATTCGATGCGTCCGTTGGCGTATGATTGCTATGACGACGTACCGTTCTGGGGGGCTCGGCCTCACCCGGCGGTGGGATGGAACTACCGTCCAGGATGTCGGTGACTGGACGGAAATCAAGACGCACGAGATAGAGATGAAGCTCTTTTACAGCAGCCATATGCACAGGTATGATTTGTGCGACATACCTGTCAAGTTTCGCGTCCGCGGCTTTAAACCGGTCGACGGCGATGTCCTTACGCGAAAGTGGATTAAACGAATCAAACTCGATGACGGCAATACGCGAATCGAGAAACGATTTATTCAACTCCCTCCCTACGCACTCGCCGACGCGAATGCTACCGTCGATATTTTCAGAGAATATTTTGACCGCAATGCAGTCCATGCAATGGGACACGTTGCTAAGTTTTCGCATCCCGTCATCCGAGACCATCTAAGAGCAGCGATTGATCACTATCACAGCCTTCCGGTAGGTGCTTGGGATCGGTTTCATTTCTGCAATGGGCGCTACTTCAGGGCCCATACAAAGCCTTGTATAGTCATTTTATACTGACAATAGGCACAGGAAGGCGACGTCGAGAAAATATTCATGCGCAAGTTCATTAAGTTGTGGTTCTGTGTCCGTACGTTTTTCTCTATAACCTCTTGCAAATCGTCCATCCGTATTTAGCCGTGGCTAACCAAACGTGTCATAGGATTCACGACGGGATCTTCTTATATCAGTGGGCCTACAAAGCTTGGGTGCTTGCCAGTCGACGATCCCGACTATCCGCTCGCAGACAGAATATCTGTTCCCCGGATGATCACCGCACAATGCGACTCCATCATGGTCTCCCGCTTTTTGCGACCACTGACACAGGATCTTATTCCCGAGTTTGAAAAGTTTTTTCGCACGGGCAACCCGGATAATTGGTTCATGCTTTACGTTTGCACATTCATTCTTCTGTCGGAGGTGTCCTTGTCATGCCAAGACCGTCATCGCCATGCTCAAGAAAACTGGCTGAAGGTAACCAACCTTTCTGCTTTGACAATATGAGCATACCATATATAATTTACACACACTGACTTCCAACCTTCAAATAGCAAAAATACTCACTCCCTGAATTTGTTGGCGAGTTACAATTTGGGGCCAACATCATCCTATGCTATTGGCACTATTACCGCACGATGGATCCTATGGATGATGGGTGGGAGATCTTCTGCAAAATTGTCGAACCTCCTCTTACTCCACGTCTCGAAATCGAATCAGCAAAGGGGAAGGGTAAAAAGAAGGTCCATCTTTCTCAAAGTCAGTTTGATCTGGTGACATCACATTGGAGAAACTTGGTTGAATTAGGTACGGTTTTTCTCTACGAATCATTCGCGTTTTAGTACCTGGACGACTAATCTTGCTAACTACTTTCCCTATCACAGCGGCTCTGATGGACACGAAGCATTACCGTGAATGCTTTGAGCACCCTCTATATTTTGTGTGCCAGATGTACATGAAAGGCTGGCAAATTCGCGACATTTACAAACGTGGACCACCAGAAGAACCCGAAGAGACTATCTGAGCGATGTGGCATATAGCGAAATCGGTCATAATATCCTGTAATGTGTACAGCGACGTTTGGACTGCCTTTGTCGTTTTTAATGCTATATATTAGTAGAGCTTACTTGGTAGCATTTTCAACGCCCGAGCGATCTTGATAACTATCTTAGTCTGAACCGTAACATTCACGCCGTGACACATCCTTCAAAGATGACCTCTACATATTTACATTACATAAATCACAAAACTCATAATTATCGTCGGTTTCGTTCATGTACTACTTCAAATATAAGTTGTTCATGCGGAGATATATAACCTAAGAGGTTACTCTTCGCTAATTAGTTTGAGCAATATTGAAATACCAAAATCTATTCGTAAACACATAATCTCATGATGTGACCGGAGTCCCCAGCCATTTACGGCCTATGACGCCGGTTAGACAATTCTCAGCTTTGCTCATTTTTGCCTTTTCACTGCATCGCCGTGAGAAGGAAACCTACAGCCTTGCACTTGGTTGTGATTTGGATTATATTATTGCCTATTTTCACGTTTCACAAGAATTGGGAAAAGAGGGCAAATTAATACAGGTCACAGACGTTAAGTGGATAAATATCCATAGCCGATGATAAATATTTCGGGCCTTAAGACTTAAGAGTTGTCCACCCGGGTTTAAGCATTCCCAACCGGTATGCATGTATCGGGTGTAGATAAGAAATATGATAAGAAAAAGTGGACCAGCGTTTTTCACAACTGGCTTCTTTCATTCTATCGACAGCAACGTCGCCACAGACATCAGAACCGCGCGACAATCACTTTGCTAAAAACCACACGGGACGAAATGTGTTTTTACAACAAATGACGATATATACGACAATTTCCTGGACCTAAAGAGGAACTACTACCCAACTCTACCCACCAGCAATTTTCCCCTGTTCTCGCTCGTTCGCCGAATACCTCAGCCATTACCCGCGTTTTCGCTTCCTTTAAACAAGGCATCTCTTATTCATCCATCGTACCCGGAACCGATCGCCATCATGTCCGAACTCGATACTTTCACCTTTTATCCCCTCCGCATAGACTCCCAGACGAAGGCGCTAAGCAGCATCGAGCCAACGCGAGCGCTAGACAACGAGCTGACAGCGCTGAACCAACTACACCGCGCTCTGCTGGGCATCGACGGCGGTGCTCCTGTGCCCCCGCCGCCAATCCCAGTCAACCCGAAACGCACTGCCAACGTCAACAAGCTCCGTGATTCTGGAAATGCCGACTTCCGCAAGGGCCGCTATGCTGAGGCCATAAAGTTCTACACCCTCGGTCTGCAAATGGCACTGACACGACCCGTGTGGGAGCCACCACAGCTGGTGCATGAGGAGGTTGCCACTCTGTACGCCAACCGGGCACAAGCACACATGGCAACACATGGATGGGCGGAAGGCGCAGTAGATGCGGAGGCAAGCGTCGAGGCCAAAAAGACAGGCAACGCCAAGGCATGGTGGCGGCGCGGAAAGTGTTTGCTGGAAATGGGCCGCCTAGAGGAGGCACAGGAATGGGTGCGCCGCGGCCTCGAGATGGAGGGCGAAGAGCACGACCTCCTTGCTCTACGTGCCGAAATCGAGGGCCTCCTGGACAATGCTTCTGCATCCTTGTAACGAAATTGGCGGAGCAGGCAGATGACTCATAACAGTGAAGGGGGCAGTATTGTCTTATTATTACCAGCGTCTTACTTAGTCTCTACTTTTCGTACTGTTACGATAATGAGATACTCTTACTCAGTGTTCCAGGCTTTCACTCATATACTTAATGGCACAGTGCTTGACAGACATGCTTAAAATTTCCGCATTCTACTGAAATATCAAACATAAATATTTGTAGTAGCTCTCGTAGACAATACAACGCAAACTACAAGCCGGACCAGATAAGCAGCCAAATTGCAGATATGACACAAAGGAGCTTCATGAAAGGAAACAAAAATGGTTAATGTAGCTACAAACAGCGGCAGTCGCCGGACATGACAAAGCAAGAAGATAAATGCAGGAACCCCAGACAAAAAAAAGACGCAGAATGGTAAACAAGTTGGACTGGACGCCAACTGGACGCCTGAAATAGGAAAACCAACATCGGCAGAGCGATGGAATTCCTCTCGCCGATTCATATGAACGATAAAAAGGAAAAGAGCCGCATGCCGACAAAAGCTAAAAAAATTGACAGCATGGCGGGTGGCGTGTCCAGTATCGAGCGGACATCAGCGAACGCCACTTAGGGTATTATCTCGGCAACGACCGAGGGCGAGCTCCGCAGTGAAGGCAGTGGGGAATAGAGGCCTCGCAATACGTTTGGCTGCTTCCTTAGTTTTTCTCCTTCTCATTAAATGTCTCCTCCGTCTTCTTGGTCCGGGGCAGACGCATCTCCGCATCTTGTCCAGTCATACGACGGTCGAGAGCGCGGTCGAGTTTGGCCCCCAACGCAAGCTTCTGGAAGACGGCTGTCTTCTCTTCGTTGAGAACAACCCGTTGTTGCTGGAGAGCCTTGTTCTCCATACGGTCGAGGCCCTTCTCAATGGTTTGGATCTCGGCTGTTGCGGAGTCGGTGGTGCGAACGGTTGGGGCATACGACGGGGCCATGCTGTAGGTGCTGAAACGAACAGAGGTGTGGGCCTGGAGCGAGAGCATTGGCAACGTGTCAGCAAACAAATTCAAGATGCATCATGTAAACACGCATCTGCAGGCTCCCATTGTATAGACATACCGAGGGGGCCATGATCGGCCGCGCTGACTCTAAGGAGGTAGGCATGGCGATTGATTTGGTCGAGAAAAGGAGGTCAAGAATGAGAGCGGCTGCACCTAGAAGGCACAGAAGGACAAATATTGGCTTTCTGGGAGTGTGCAAACAAGTTTCGTAAGGTTTCGTAGGTTTCTTCAAGGGCGGTCTCCTGCGAGAGTTGCCTTTCCAGTCGGTCGTTACGCCTGGGGGTGACAACAAAGGTGTGTGGTCGGTAAAAGGTGTACAAGGCGGTGAAGCGGAGATATGCGCAGATGTGTGATTGTGGCGATGGTAGTGTACGATCTCGATTGAAGACGAGAACCTGATAATATTGGCGACAAAGGAGGATTGCGGAGAAACGTGGGCGAGGGGAAAATGAAGATGCCTTCCAATAGAAGTCAGCGAGGACGGGATAAAGAGACCGTTCGGAAAGTTCACCTCCACGAGGAAAAGTGCGGGCGGTCAGCGCCGTCGCACGTTTTCGGCAGGCTCTTTCCTGCCTGTGTCTGTAACCTCGTTGGTCGCCTTTTCCTGCTACGCAGGGCTTACGGCACTAGAGCGTGAGCTAAGCGTCTTTTGCTCTTAGTGGCTGGGGTCCAATCTCAAACAACCAAGGGGTTGCAGGCCAGACAGGCGGGCCTGATTCGAATACGGTAGGTAAGTGGGTGATTCCCCGCCCCTTTGTGAAGGCACCGATAGAACTGGAAGACATAATTTGGGAGTCGAAGTTGAAGGAACTTGTAAGCGAATCCATTCATTCGGTGGTATCTATCTACGTGCTTAGCCTTCTTTGGCTGTCCGGGTAATGGCAGGTTCTGCGATCTGCCGTGCGAGATGGACCATCGCACCTTCCGAAGGCGGTTCTTCGTATTTCCTTTGTCGCTCACTGCAAAAAGAAGGAAGGTATTACAACGCCGTAACGAGACGCTAAGAGTGCGTCATATTATACACGCATGCCGAAGTGCACTGCCAGACAGTTTCTCTCAACCGACACGACATCTTCTACCTTAAAAAGCGCCCTGGCCGCATGCCATGTGGTGGTTATCATTGCGCCCCATGTGTTTTCCTTCAGCCCACCGTTCTTGCCCACTCTTTTGTCGATCAAGACAACTAGGTTCGCTAGCGCGACGCGTTAGCGGTAGTGATTTTGCTGATGAAATATGGAAGGCACAAACACGCCGCAAACCTGGGTGCCTGGCTAGGCCATGCCTGCGACAGTTTACGTCGTTCCACTATTTTCAACTTGAATCGCAGTGTTTTGTGGACCGTGAGTTTCCTTTCACAGTCCATGAATAGGTCAGAAATCGTCGAATTTGATTCCTAGATCCTGCTTCCATGTGGCATGAGCGCCGAACTCACCAACTCCGCCATGAGCTGGTCCATCCTTGCAGCCATGCAAACTCCCCTTCGCAACCAAATTTTGCATCGAACCACAAAACGACAGGAAAGCAAGCGTTTGCGAACTCCTGAAAGCTCTTCGAATACCTAAATACCTGGAGACCCTGGACTTGTCGGTATGTGTTTGACAGCCCACCTCCTCACTTGCCAGGCCAAATGGTAAAAGGCCCATGTATGGGCCTGTCCGCGGTTGGCCGGTCGATCAATCACGGCCCTCTCTTCTACCCTTGCAAAGCGGAAGAAATAGCCGACCCTCTTCCCACATGTTAAACACGTGGCAGGGAGAGTGGCCCGTCGTCGAAAAGTTCCTAAGAGAAGTCCACATTACGTGGCACGCATAAGAATATGGAAAATGGAGATCGAAGAGAGGAGATCGAAGTACGTCAAAGGATGAGAGCACGCGATGGATTCACGCCGCACGACGTACACCGGGAGTAAACGATGGGTTACCTGAGGCGGTAGGCAGGAACATATCCTCGATATCCGCATTTCTCCTGGTAGTACTGTCAGTGACTATCCATGCAGCTGGTCGTTTACTCAACTCACACAAGATCTTATTCCTCTTGCTGCGGGAAAAAAAACCCGAATCTTGAGCGCATCTCGCACATTTTATGACGTCGTTTCTACATGAATCAGGACGCAAATTCAACACCATCCGATTCTCAAGCGCCAGACAACGCGTTCTATTTTCTCTATGCTTTCAACTCCCATACGAAATGCGCTCTACATTTCGAGGGATTTTGAGTTGCCAGCCACAATCTACCAACAGCCATATGATACCTCTAGGCCGTTGTACTTGTGTCAGCGAGCATCTGCCACGAAATCTCGAGAGAAATATGCCATTGTACCGATATTTCTGCGTGTACGGGATGCATTGCCGGACTAGACCAGTCTTGCTGATAATAACCCGATTGAGTCCGGTACACACACGGACCACTATCTGCTCTTATCCTTGCCCTTTCCTTTGCTATGTGATGAAGATTTTTTGCCCTCCGGGCCATGGCGACGACTCCCCGGATTCGAAGCGTCCGCCACGTCCCTGGCATGTCCATCGCCATGATACCCATGTCCGTCACCGTGGCCATAGTCGCCATACATGCCGGATCCGTCCGTTATGCCACACGAAGACGATCCAGCACATACTACATCGTTGCTAGACTTTCTCGATTTCTTCTTTTTCTTCGTATCATCTTCCGGCATAGGTCCGGCGCTTTCTGTGGCAACTACGATCAGAATCAAGGCATTTTGCCACTATTTCAAGACAATAGCCAGGAACAAGCAAAGATACCGGATGAATTAGATGGTGAACATACCGCTGCGTGTGCAATTTTTGCAACACCCATGGTCACACGTCTCGACCCACTCGTACTCGTCCTTTTGGAAGTTCTTCTTCCACGACGGATTTGGGTATGTGCACCATCCTTGAGTGTTCGGGCCCTGCTTACACGTGCAGCAGTCCCAGATTCCGCCGACTTCTTTAAAGTGGCAGTTTTTTAGCGGGCATCGAGTCTTGGCCGGCTGCGAGACGGCATATGTCGTTTTGTTGCAGACAGTTGCGTGCCCCGTTGTGACATCAATCTTGGCCCTCGGGCAGTAATGCCACTTAACTGACTGATGGCCACACGGATGGTGGTGTGGGTGGCCGTAGCACATCGTGACAACAGTACCTGTTGTGTTAAGGTGGGTTGGTACTTGGGACAGTCGTGATGTCCACCTTCGACTGCTTGTGCTTAACGCCGGTACGTATGATGGGTGTCTCTATTTGTTGAATCGCTCGAATTCTTGAGTTTTCTACAAGACAAAATAACACGGAAAAACCGTCCAGGAAACGTCAGTGGCATTTTCTACTTAAAAAAGCAGTCGACCTTCTCGCTTTCTTATATACTTTGAAATAAGACTGCGCAACGTTGCCCATCTAACAACAAAGACTCGTTTACTCATATCGAGCTTCTGTCCGGGCCGGCCAACTTACGCCTCCTTGCAGATACCCGGCAATAGGTCGTCTGTGTCGGTCGACGAAACAAAGCGAGGCCACATAACAGACAAGTACCGAGAGCAAGGATAGACTGGCGCCCCTTGTGCCTACCGTTCGTCCAGCCCACCAAGCATGCAGCCGATTAAATGTGTATAACATTGGCCTTTGGATGACCCGACGCCTTGGTGCCGGGCAGATTGTATTGAACATATCCTTCCGATGTGTGAGTTGTCTTAGACGCTGGGGCACTCGACGTCGCGGCCATGGGTAGGGGCCGCCACATCCAAGACATCGAGACGCAAGCTGCAGGCGGTATTGCGACACCGAGACTTTCCCTGTCGTCCCAGCGGAGGTAAAGAAGAAGAAAAAAAAATGGCAAAGGCTGCGTGACGAATGGGGACTTTCCATTCCTTTCATCGACTCTGTTTATTCCTCTGCAGAAACTGTCTAGTCGAGCACAAACGAAGGCCTTGTTGACAAGGCCATGACACTAAACACAGCAGCAGTTACTTTCCAAAGAAAATGGCCAAGTGATGTGCATCTGGTTGAATAGTTCATCAAACCTTATGGAGCAAACAGCGATTGGCTGCTCCGTCGTTGGTGGTTTAGGGTACTTGTGTTTCCTCTTTCTTCAGCCACGGCCAACCATCAAACGCTGGGAAGCTTCATCTGTTTGAGACCGCCCAGCTCCCAGGTGGGGGTGCCTCTTGGTGTGACTGCCAACACAAATGCCGTGTACTTCCACAAGATCAGATAGATCTAGGTACGAAAAGCCGTGAGTTGCGTTTGCAAGATGTTGTGAGTTCCCACACGATCGGTACTTGCATAGTGCTGGCCACGTATCGCGGGCCCCACCACACAATGGCGAATCAATTGTCGACGGAACGTTCGCACATGTGTGCAAACGGATACGAATGCAACGCGAACAGTAAAGATTTTGTCTTTACTAGTTCCAACAAACAGCCGTATCCGACTTCGCAATATCAAAATATAACCGTTTGTGTTTTCTAGATACGCCCATTGTCTGCGGCCGACATTTATATACCGACACATGTTGGCCATATTACACCCCCGCTGCTTCGTGCGAAAGGAAAAATGGTGCTACGGTCGCATGCATGGTTTGGGGAACTCTTCCTTGGGTGTCCCCTCTCCCCCATCCATTTCCCAGCGCGTGGATTATTCCCGACATTTCCAAAAATTCGCCAACGTGCGTTACACTCGTTTTATGTGCTCTCGATTTACACATGCGTGCATACATACGTACACTGCTCGTATGCAGCATGCAGTGTCCGAAATTCCCACGATCTGGGTCGCGAATCTCGTCTACCCATGGAGTCTTGTAGTGCGCGCTGTCTTAGGAAAGACAAAATGGCTTTGTCTCCCGCCGGCCCTCAATACTCAGACATTTTATTACTTGCACTGGAAGACTTGTAACGTGTTATCAAAGGGCCAGAAAAAATATCAAGTAGCTGAAGTAAACGGCGGCACAGTCTTGGCTCTGTTTTATTTGTGCCTGTGGGCTGCTTAGCCGCTGTTTTTAGTTACGGACGACGATTTTGGTTTGTGGGGAAGAAATGAAGAGCGAAGTCAATCGCTTTAGTACAAAAAAGGTAAATAAACGAAAAGGGGGCGATGTGGCGACGAATCGGACGACAAGACACCAAACGGACAAACACCGGCCACCAACAAACGAGAAAAATCAACATCTCATACCGAGACGTTGTTTGCGTTGTTTGCACAGACTCGCCGGTGCCAGACCGCCGACCAAGACACAGACTAAACAATGGCGCTCTCAAGAGAAAAATATCTCGTTTGGGGAAATAGAAGCTAAAATTAGCTGACAAAAAGCAAATGTCCTCCCATCGATTAAAGCAAATAGCAAAGCCAGATACAGCAACTTGCCGAAGCAAAACAAGCCAAAAGAGATAAAGATCTTGAAAGAAGCAAAGAAAAGTAAAGAAAAGAAGCCTCGTCAGCTGAGTTCCCGTTCTAAATGCGAGCTGGCATCCCTAGTTAAATTCACCGCTTCGCAGCTTCGCATCCAGAACAGCAGATGTGCTCGCACTGAACTCTGTTGCCCTCGATAATCATGATGCAGCTACAGCGGCCGCGCTCGTTCCAGCCCTTCCCGCACCAGCAGCAGTTCCAGCAACGGTCCTTGGCCTCAAAGGGACAATCCGGTAGAGGACATTTGGGTGCCAGCAGCGACGTAGCCGCCGTCTGGGGGTCACATGTAAAACTAGGTGGCGTCGGATATGGTAGAGACTGTTGTGTGAGATTGTCACAGGGAATCATCCTAGGCTGGCGATGCGAGGATGAAGAAGACGATGAAGACGACCCGCTCTTCTTTTTCTTGCTGGAACTGCTGTCTTTCTTGTGGCTCTTGTGTTCTTTCTTGCTTGATGAAGAAGACGACGATGAGGCGATGGGGATGGCGTCGGCGCAATAGATCATTTGCGTCTTAACGTGTTCGCACGTCAAAGTGTAGCTGATTTGGAGACACATTGTGTAATGACAGAGAGGCGAAATGCAAATGGGACTATGAGTTTCTCCAGAGTCGATGGTAGCTCGTCCGCTCCTGTCCTATTTTTCTCGTGGGTCCTTTTGTCCTCGTCGTGGTCTCGTACGTTGCTGTTTTCGTATAACGTTTTCAGATTTGGGATACGTATGTGCTAAATTGGTAAGTATACTCTCTCCAGAAATCATTTTGTCCTTTCCCTCAGCTGTATTTATTTCAAAAATTTTAATTTCTTTGGCAGTTCCACCTACCAACCTTCACCAGTTATTCCCATCCATAGAAACACGACGAAAGGCGCTCTTACCAGTCAGATATGTGCCTTGAAAAGCCCCCTCGTATGGATTGTGTGGCTTGTTCAGACGGGTCTTGGGTTTTCTTGGTGCGCCAGTCCTCGTTTCGATTCGTCTTTGTTAGTGCTGTCTGCAAATGGAGAAGTTGCTACTGCATACTCCAATGCCATCTTGATAGCAGGACTGTCTTGACAATTTATATATCCATCTTCATCGACTTGCCATGTCAAGCTGATCGTGACCAATGTTGTACCTTCTGCCTGCTAGATTCGCCTTGCTTGGCGTTGAAACTGCCACCTTGTACCTATTTTCTGCTTTGCGTACTTGTCTATTTTCCTATTTCTTTGTTCCGATGGGTATTTTCGAGTCGCGTTCCGCTCGTTCCTCCTCAGAGCCAAAACATTTCCTTTTCTAAAATACAGAGCAAGAAAAGGCACCTTGGTTATTGAGAGTAGAGCCTGCTGAAAATAAAGAACAGAAAACTGGCCGTCGTACTTCAACAGACAGCGATGTAATAAGCACGCTCTACAAGAGCAGCTGTCGGTATTCACAAATCTCAAGGTGTGCGCATTGTTTTTGGTGCCTTTCGGGTATGCTACGTCGAATACGGAAGTTGTGTCGTTTTGCCCCGTATCAGTATATGATCTTAATCCTATGACAGCTGAAAACAACGAGATCGGTGGATGACAAACTACTCATGTAAGAGGGGGCGTGGATGGGTCGTCCTCCCCCAGGTGTAATATGGGGAAGGGGCAAAATACCACCTAGCTACCCCATACCAGCTATGTCTCTTGACGGCTGTCTTTCTTTGGCCTGTTCGTGTCGATGGAGTCACGGAAAGAGACGACAGAGTTTCGGAGGTTTATTCCGAGGAGCGGAAATCCAACTCTAAAGGATGCGTACTGGCCATGTTATCCTGTTTACCCTTGTGGCTGGACGTGAAGGTGGTTTGGACGACCCATCTGATATTGTGAAAGCATCACGATAATGGGCATAGAAATAAAAACAAATTATTAAAAAAAGATTTTGAACATAGCCCGCCTAATGCCGCAGGGCATTCGGCGACCTGAATGTCATGCTTTTCACAGATAGTTTGTGATCACTCTGTGCCAGGCGGGCTTGTCTCGCCTAACGGTAAAATTACCGAGGGTGTGTACGAACTCTGCAGGCCAGACGGCCCATCGTAATTTGGTTAGACTGTATCTTCAATTCATAGTTTGTGTGGGTGGAGAGGACGTAAATAGTCATCTTTTAGTTCTAGATGATAACATTTAGAAACCAGTGTCGTTTGTGGGCGACAGCAAAATGTTTTAAAAAGGGGAGAAAGGATGAGGTAAAATAACAGAAAGTAAAAAACCCAGAAAGTACCATTGATAAAAAATCAAAATCTCTGTAGAATACCACACTAATATTTTCTATCCAGACGTTCCTAATCTGGTCCTTCACCCAATGTCGTCGTCCGCAGGCCCCAGTCCCGCCCACCCAATCAAAAGACCTTGTCTCCTGCCAGAGCAACTGTCCCGATGCACTTTGGCAAAGTAGCAAATACAAACCAGATCTACTGTCCGCTATTGTTTGCATCTGGTGTGATCGACATCAGAGTCCCTGGACCCTGTCCTTCTACTCGGTTTTTGAGGTTTTCGTCCGGCCAACATCCGTGGCCGGATTTGCCAGATCTCTGTGTGCCCTCCTCCTGTTCCATTGTCTCAATATCTTGATTTTACATGATCTATCATTCCCACATCGGAATTCGCGGAATTATTAGGTTCGCATCTGTACGTAGCCTCTCACCCTCCATGTTATTCTGTGGTCTCCGCTTCGCCTCCTTCCCGTACTCTTCCTCGCCACTTCGCATCCTGTTTCAGCTCGGCTGTCTTTGGTTACACAGATCTGATTTGGGATTTCCTTACGCATATCTGAGTCCACCAAGACGACAGTGATTGTTAGCCAACCAGAATTTATGTACTGTGTATCAAGGCCAGCTGAAATGGTAGATTTTTTCTATTACCACCAGTCTGACCTGTTTCTTACAAAGGATTTCACCCTCCGGGCGTATGATCCCTCTCTCCTTTTGAAGCCGAAGATACAGTGGTTCTTGTTTTATTTATTTTATTTTATTTTATTTTATTTTATTTTATTTTATTTTATTTTATTTATGTATTTTTCCGTCGATCAAAAATTGATCACATTTGGTCTAGATCGTCAGCTCGCTTACCTTTGCAAATCATTCCCAACTCAGGTACAGTGTGAGGCATCAGCCACAAGTCAAACCACAATGGCGGCTAACCACTCGTCGCCGAGAAGGGAAACACTGGCGTCCTTCAGTTGCCCAGCACATTTATTACTTTACCAACACACCGGCAGATCTAAGCAATCGCCAACAAACAACGAATAACGGTTTCGACACGATGTGGTTACGGATAATGCACGACCATTCAACCCGTGCATAGACAAATATATTCAAAGATGCTCACGGATGCTTAACTATGAATTATAAGTGTGGTTCGTCCTTGAGTGGCCCACTACAAACATAGATAAAGTAAAATAACCCTCAGAATAACATGTCAACATTGGAGGAGAACGTCATGTGAACAAGTGTATCAAGAACGGAAAAGAATCCACATTTATGTTAAGAAAAAATATAGCCGGATAATGGGAATGGTGCTTTTGAAGTCAACAAATACAGGACGGCGATACCAAAGTCATGGACTACAAAGAACATAATTCCAAAAAAATAGACCGTGCCCGTTCATATCTGGTTACTATAGAATGCCCCATGCCCTGTCCATCCTATTCCATTCCCGGAGGATCGCCCAGCTCTACCTGGGTCCCTTTCTTTAAAACATCCCTTTCCCTTTTCCCCGGCGCTCAGCACAGCCCCCACATGCAAACATTCAATAGGAAACCGGATTCGCCACGGGGGCCCCTCGCCCGAGACTCATGCTAGCCTCGTCCGGTTGGCAGTTTTTGCAGCACACGTGGTAGCAGAGCGTGTCCGGGCTCGAACGCATGCGATGACCGCACCATCGGTAGACATTGCCGCCGCGGTTGCACTCGCAGCAGACCCATATTCCATTAAGTTCGGCCAGGCGACAGGCTCCGGAGCTGCAGTCAGGGCTCTCGGTACAATCACCCATTGCGCACGGGTTGTTGTAGTCGACGCTCTGCTCCTGGTCAAAACACAAGTTCTCGCACGGCAGGGCGAGTCCCGTGGTCGGGTCCATGGTGGCATGGGTGCAGAAGCCGTATTGCATAACATAGTCGATGGTGCGGTCGCAGGGCGGCGTGTGGTGGCGGTGGAGGTAGTAGTACGTGCACATGGTGATGGTGATATTGTGTGTAAACGGCAGTTTTGTGTGGTGCCCTATTCGTCGACCATACGGTGATTCCTTCGCTCTTCGATTTCTGATTTCTCTTCACTTGACTTTTCTCCCTCTGATATTTGCTTTCTTTCTGTTGCACGTCTTTGTCAGCCATTCACGCCACTATCCAGCTGTCGTGACAATGCATATCCGCCTCTCGAAGCAGCACGAAGGCACTTACTTAGTATGCCTCTATGTCGGCATCAATGCCAAAAGTATCTTGTTTTGTTTGTGACGACTTATCTTCTGTGTTGGCCTCGAGATAATGCGTTTGATCTCTTTGGGTCTTTAAACCACACCGTTTCTTCATAGGCATCCCCTTTACCTTTATACCTCTCCATCTATCTCCAGCGATGCCCTCTCTTTTCTCTCCCCCTTTTCCCGCAAAATGGGAACGCGAGCCTGCGTCTGTCTCTCATGTATCTCGTCTTTGGTAACGCCAATCATCAACGGCATCATCGACAAGACCATTCCCGTTCTGGGAAACGACGGGGTCCTAGGGAACACCAATACAGCCCATGTCCTCCTATTCTCCTGCTTCTCTCTGGTTCCTAATACATTTTATTTATTTCTCCCTTAATTTTCAATCATTTATATTTTTATCTTCTGTTCTCCTGTTTCTCATCCAACTGATGATGGCTCGTTTCGTGTATCTGTGTTTTGTGGTCGTTGACCTCCTGTGGCATATTTGTCTCCTTTGTGTACGTCTCTTTTCTTTGACCAAGGTCATCTTTTCTTTATTTCGTTTTTATTTTGTATTTTATTTGATGCTTTGGGAAACACCAAGGTCCTCCTCCACCAACTGTTGCATACCCCCATTTGTGACCGACAATGCTCAGCCGACACGAGGTGAGCCTTTTCTTCCGAGAACCCCAAACAGGCAGAAGGGGGGCAACGACCAAGGAGAAATGTGCCGGATTTGCATACTACACATGTATCTGCAACCCGGAGGGGGTTTTGTACGCCTTACGCACTGCTTCGTGCGCCTTCGTTTTTTATCGTCTCTTAATAACGGACCACGGAGGACTTTTCATTCCTAGCCGTTTTTCGTTACCTTTCTTTTTTGGCTCTTATGACCTTGACTTTGTGGTCTCTTTCGTCTGCAGAAACACACCTTGTGAGGATGTCCTGCCAGCAATTTCACAGCATAACCTTTCGCTTAAACTTGGGGTTGGTAGCTTGCGATCGTACAAATATCTATCTGATGCAGCGTCTTTGCCTATTTTTGCGCGCTGGTTATTTTCGCCCTTTTTCGACATGCTTGTAAACCGTTTTAGAGGAAACTTGTACGGTATCAGCCTCCCCTGGAGGCGTTGCTTTGTTTCTCTTGCCAAGCCCTCATTCTTGTCCAACCATGGAGCCCAGGCAAAATGAAAACAAGCCATTCTGCCCTTCTTTTTTTCTTCAGCTGTCTGGTGGCTCAGATCGCCACATTTATGATCTATTTATGTGTTATCTTACAGCCTTCCATACAGTCATAGACTACGAGACAGAACTGCTTATGATTGGGGTAAAATAGTCTCTCCTTGGACACAAATGTCTTAGTTTGGCTCGTGTTGTGTTGACAGCCTGCAAGGGCGTCAAATAGTTGGTGTAGGGCGGCTCACGAAAAAGTGACCGGATGATCAGAATAAAAGATCGAGACAAAATATCAGACCGAAAACGAAGGTTTCCTTTTACACAAGAATTTTAGTTACAGATGAGGAAATCAAAACACGAGACAAAATGAAACGCAAAACACAATTCTTGGCGTCAGCAATCTCAAGAAAGCTTATATCAGCTCGCCCTGGTTACTACCTCTATGCTTCTCACATCCGTTCCTTCCAGTGCGGCAGAGATGGTGTATATCGTGGTTTTTAATAGTGTGTTACCCTCACCTATACTTGTGACAAACTTCATCTCATCTCGTCTCCTTATGTCGGGCACGACACAAGTCGTCTGAACATCATTGCCTTTTTCGAGGTCACGGTCGTGGCCATGCAGGTTAGAAAGGATCGTTGGGGAAATATTGCGGGATAGAATCTGTGCTTCCCGTACTTGTGAGTATGAAGTGAGCTCCACCGACGGCGAAAATTCGAAAACAGGAAAAGAGAGAGAAACGACAACCAAACCAAGGGCAACACATGCAGCTGCGCGATTGGCTGCAAGACGGCCGTGGATAGGCAACGCCGAGCTGCATGCGATTATGCACGCGATAGTGAACGTGGTGATACACGCGACGATATACGCGATGCTTACCGTTACTTCGACAATGAGTCGGTCTCCCATTTCACGCTCTGCTCCTGATCTATCCCACGACGAAGCTTTCTCCGAGCCGCTCAGCCCGAGACATTTTCACGCAGCCCTCTGCATACCTACAATCACCTGGACATGGCCCTTGTCGCTCTGTCTCTCCTACATGAGAATCTATTTCTATTTGTTCCTCGTTTAAAAATCGGAAAGGCTGCAGCACGCCGACCATCGAAAAGAGCATGTAGATATCCGAAAATATGTAACACTCTGGACATGTAGTCGAAAAAAAAAAAAGAAATCAAGCCCGAACATTCGGCGTAGAAGAAAATTTGATGTGCAATGTGGCACGACAAACATGACGAGAAGGATGGAAGGTTTCGGGAAATACACCAAATACCATTGCAGAGTTGCTCTTTCATGTCATTTGAAGTACAAGTAGTGAGCGTGCGAGTAAAACAAGAAAACACATGGCATGGGGAGCGAGACACTTCCAAGAACCATCCGAAAAGGGAAACAACTTAGGAAGATAGGAAGAAAGTCGCAGCGTACAAGCTGAACGCATGCCACGGCACTGGGGCACACCAGGGCAGAAAGACATACACAAGGACAGAAAGTCACAAAAGTACAAGGACACAGGCCGAGTGATGAAAACAAGCTTAAAGTGGTGAAGCGAGAGGGACTTAAAAAGAAAGAAAAGAACGGTAAGTCCTACCCGTCGTGCCGCTCCGTCCCGCAAGAAGTCCGAGAGCGGGCCGAAAATGAAAGACTAATGGAGCACCGTAGCATCCTCGTCAATAGAACGAGAACGGCCGCCTGGTAGCATCGCCTTACTTGGTCGTCAATGAGCCATTCAATTCCGGTGCCCTTGCTGTTTCGTATTCGGACAGTTCATATGCATACCACGGTTCCGGACAAAGAACATCTAGAAGAGGAAGGAATCGCTTCGTGGAAGCTGAAAAGAGGGCCATATGATGCCAGAGAAGATCCGCCGAAGCCATTGGACGGGTTTATTTTGCAAGACAATTGGCAATATGCACTACCTGTGTTCGCCGTGCTGAGCCCTGCAACCCTCGTCTTTTCATCCAGCTCTTTTTTTTTTCATTTCTCGCTTATCCAATGGCACGTCTATAGATAGGCACGGCACATCCCAAGAGTAGCACGAGGGCTGTGTGACGTGGGTCGTTTGTGTAAAACGTGCATCTGGCCGAGACATGATTCTGGCAGGTTGATTGGGTTTTATTGCTGTGCTCTCGTCAGCCTCTGCTGGTCCCTGTACATTGTTAATCACTGTTGTCCTCTGTGATCCTTGTATTCTATTTCGGACGGTGTATCGTAGAGTATGGTGCACAGAAACGCCAGGTACCGCACAGGGGGACAGTACAGCTTTATCCACTCTTCCACAGGTAGCGCCACGTCGTGCAACAAAGCGGTAACTTAAATTGGGCGAGTCTCGCACCATCGCAGGCGGTAACACGGCGTCGGCTCTTGACGGAAAAATGAAAATACAGTAGGTAGGCAGGTCTCTCGAATGCCGTCCTATGGGCTGTTGAAGTCCTGCTTTCGTCTGGTCCCTCGTTTCTCTTTTCAACGTCGCCACTGTCTCCCCATTTTCCCGTGTCCCTTCTTTCTTAGCTTCTCCGTCCAAAGGAGGTGGCAATGGGCCAAATAGAAAGAGTCGGAGGAGAGAGGGCGCCTTCTTTTGGATACTCGAAATAGTTATTCTGTCCTTATCGTTTCGACATGCCCTCGTTTTGTCCGATTCGGCTCGAATTAGCCTTGGTCAGTGTCACGGACATGATAAATACCCGTGCTAGTCATCTTTTCCCGGTGCGGGCATCGTTTGCAGTTGCACATTTCCTTTCATGGCCAAGCCTGTGGTGTTTCGTTGCCGACGAGAAGGAGCTGTCTTGTGCAGCTGTTTCGAGATAGTTCGGGCGAAGCCAAAGAGTAAATAGCATCTTTCAGCGGGAGTGGGTAATGGGAGTCCGAGATTGTCAAAGACTGGGCTCGGTGTTGGTTGAGGGTTCCTGGCATTCGGCAGCAGTTGTCGGCATCCTGTCCGGCACAAAAATGATGCGCGGTGCCCATGTTCACGGCGGCCGAACATCGCACGTGCTCTGGTAATCCATAGCCACACGGCCCCAGTATCGTTCGAGCAGTCTCTGTCTTTGGTCGAAAACAATTCCCAAGGCGAGGCGGCTCGTAAACAAGAGGTCGCGGGTGGTCCGGATGTGATGTGGCGGATCGCGAACGGCTCAGGGAGGACTATATGCTGACGGAAGTGAGTTGGTTTTTAGCATGATTTCGTGAAGCACATGTAATTGCTGTGGACAAGTAATAGCCCACAAGGTAAGGAGAGAAAACTCACAGTCCAATTCACGAGAATAAACAATCGAAGGAACAATGGGAGCCTGGGCAGATTTGGTGATGTGGGCTGTTCTGATTGACGCAATCGTTGCAGTTAGTACTGAATAAGATACTCGTAATTACTCCTGAATTCAATAACTGCCCTATGTCACTATGTTGTAACCACACAAATGTGCAGTGCTTTTCCAGCGGCTAAGTTCCCCTGCAACGAAGGCCAGACCTGGCCAACCGCTATTGCTTCCGTACAGCAAGGGCCATCAGGAAGAGTGGAGCAGGCGCTGCATGTCGTACGGTGTGCGTTCGTCGGAGATGGGCCCGGGCCCCGGTAAAGACTTAGGGGGGGAGCCTTGCGGGGATAC